GCCCTTCATTATATTCTATTCCACCCATGGTTCTATGTCAATGGCTCGCGCTCATATATTGCGTGAAAGTTTATAGGTTTGAGATTACTAAAGTATGAAATAATTGCTTGGCTTGTCATCGGGGTAGTGCATGATGATAGCATTCTTGTGTGACGAAAATGAAACATGACTAAACTATATGATTTTGTAGGGATGGACTTTCTTTAGCAATGTTATTTTGAGAAGACATAATTGCTTAGTTAGTATACTTGAAGTATTATCATTTTTATGTCAATATGAACTTTTGTCTTGAATCTTTCAGATCTGAATATTCATACCAGAACTAAGAAGAATTACATTAAAATTATGCCAAGTAGCACTCCGCATCAAAAGTTCTCTTTTTATCATTTACCTACTCGAGGACGAGCAGGAATTAAGTTTGGGGATACTTGATACGTCTCCAACGTATCTATAATTTTTGATTGCTCCATGCTATATTATCTACTGTTTTGGACCATATTGGGCTTTATTTTCCACTTTTATATTATTTTGGGGACTAACCTATTAACCGGAGGCCCAGCCCAGAATTGTTGCTTTTTGCCTATTTTAGTGTTTCGGAGAAACAGAATATCAAATGGAGTCCAAACGGAATGAAACCTTCGGGAACGTGATTTTCTCATCAGATAAGACCCAGGAGACTTGGACCCTCCATCAAGAAATCCACGAGGCGGTCACGAGGGTGGAGGCGCGCCCCCTGCCTCGTGGGCCCCTCGAAGCTCCACCGACGTACTCCTTCCTCCTATATATACCTACGTACCCCCAAACGATTGGGGACGGACCCAAAAACCTAATTCCACCGCCGCAACTTTCTGTATACACGAGATCCCATCTTGGGGCCTGTTTCGGAGCTCCGCCGGAGGGGGCATCGATCACGGAGGGCTTCTATATCATCATCCAAGCCCCTCCGATGAAGTGTGAGTAGTTTACTTCAGACCTACGGGTCCATAGTTAGTAGCTAGATGGCTTCTTATCTCTTTTTGGATCTCAAGACAATGTTCTCCCCCTCTCTCATGGAGATCTTTTCGATGTAATCTTCTTTTTGCGGTGTATTTGTTGAGACCGATGAATTGTGAGTTTATGATCCAGTCTATCTATGAATAATATTTGGATCTTCTCTGAATTCTTTTATGTATAATTGGTTATCTTTGCAAGTCTCTTTGAATTATCAGTTTGGTTTGGCCTACTAGATTGGTTGTTCTTGCCATGGGAGAAGTGCTTAGCTTTGGGTTCGATCTTGCGGTGTCCTTTCCTAGTGATAGAAGGGGTAGCAAGGCACGTATTGTATTGTTGCCATCGAGGATAACAAGATGGGGTTTTTATCATATTGCATGAAACTATCCCTCTACATCATGTCATCTTGCTTAAGGTGTTACTCTGTTTTTAACTTAATACTCTAGATGCATGCCGGATAGCGGTCGATGAGTGGAGTAATAGTAGTAGATGCAGGCAGGAGTCGGTCTACTTGTCTCGGACGTGATGCCTATATACATGATCATACCTAGATATTCTCATAACTATGCTCAATTCTGTCAATTGCTCAACAGTAATTTGTTCACCCACCGTAGAATACTTATGCTCTTGAGAGAAGCCACTAGTGAAACCTATGGCCCCCGGGTCTCTTTCTCATCATATCAATCTCCATCACTTTATTATTGCTTTGCTTTTCTTTGCCTTTTACTTTTCACTTTGCATCTCTATACTAAAAATACCAAAAATATTATTTATCATCTCTATCAGATCTCACTTTCGTAAGTGGCCATGAAGGGATTGACAACCCCTAAGCGCGTTGGTTGCGTTGAGCTATTGTTTTTGTGTAGGTACGGGGGACTCGCGCGTAGCCTCCTACTGGATTGATACCTTGGTTCTCAAAAACTAAGGGAAATACTTACGCTACTTTGCTGCATCATCCTCTCCTCTTCGGGGAAATCCAACGCAGTGCTCAAGAGGTAGCATGCATCATGTCAAGCCACTCTTCAGTTCTATCCGTCTTCCACTTATCATAGAAAGCGGTCCATCTATGCTCAAAGTTCGCTTGAGAGGTGGCATAATATAGGAGCGATCTGAACTCATCCAGTGACTTGTAATGCAGGTGCCTCTGCATATTTTTCTCGATATGCCAGGAGCAAAGACGATGGAAAACATTTGAAAGGACCGTCTGAATAGCCCGGATCATTGCAGCGTCACCGTGTGTGATTATTGACTTTGGCTTCACCTGACAGTTTGTCATCATAAATGTCTGCAGCAGCCACACGTATGTCCCTTCCGTCTCGTCAGCGATGATGGCACAACCAAACACTGTGGTGCAACGGTAGTTGTTAACTCCGACAAAGGGGACGAACGGCATACCATACCTGTTCATCTTATACGTGCTATCAAACATGACCACATCTCCGTAGTCCTGATAGTCCCTCCGCGACTGTGCATCGCACCAGAACATACTCTTCAGTCGCCCTTCCTTGTCACACACATACTCAAAAAAACTCAGGGTCCTTCTCCTTCCTGCTCCTCATAATGCCGATTGTCGTCTCAGCGTCACCCTTTGCAATAAGCTTCATTTTTTCTCTGCAACAAAGATTGTAAATGTCCGTCCTGATAAGCCCGCACTTATCGTACGAACCGTATCTGCTGATGAAGTTGTCCATTATTATATGCTTTCTTATCCCGTCCGCTTCCATCGCCCTCTTGCCATCTCCAATTCGTCTGTGTGACCACAAAAAACAAACCTCATCAGGCTGAGCCATTGCGTGGTTGTGATCATCCACGAATGATGCGACGAATCAAACGCCACGTTCTCTGTCCAGCTTCACCACCATATGTGCACCGCAGTCGCAACGAGTCTCCGGTCTAAGCCTGCGCTTGCGGCCCTCCATGGTTATGAACTTGCTCTGCCTTCTCCCTACCCTGAAGCAAAGAAACCGCCGGTACCGTATCATTCCTGAAGCACGTCGTTTCACCTTCTGTTTCCTGATGCTAAACCCGTGCTCTTTGGCATGATTGTTGTAGAATATGTATGCATTCCCTTGCGACCGAAAGGTCATAGCCATGACCTTCCAATGTGTCTCCAGCATCTTCTGCTGCCTTTGAGCCTCCTCAATGTCGACCTCTCCCTCATCGTGATCACCGCTACGACCATCTGACTCCTCCTACAACATTCATTTGAAAATATATATGTCAATTCCTATCATTTAATTCATACTATTGATCAATGTACAACATCTATCAACTAACCTGGCTCAAGTTATCTGCAAATGATTCCTGGAAATTATTTTGCACATTGTCAACATCCACATCTTCCTGCAAATTTATACACAAAGATATATACTTAGCAGTGCCATACTTTGCAAATACAAAAATAAAATCAAAATATATGCCACTTATGTTTTCATTATTTGCGCCATGTTCATTATTATCAAAATCCTCCGAAGGTAAGATATCTTATGACGAGACGGAATCATTGTCGCTGCTGTCATCATCTTCGTTTAGATTATCGTTATTAGTCTTAGTCACCTTATCAGTATCATTCTCATCCCTCCCGAAAGCGGATTCTTCATCCATGTCAACACGCCCAACTCACAGAACTGCAAAACATCGTGTGTTAGGTTTACTACACCATATTATGCCCAAAGCAACGCTAGTTCTCTAAATCATGCGCTAGTTCGTAGAGGAGGCGCTGTGGCGGGAGGTTTTGATGAACCCTAAACCCTAAATCAGTACATGCACGAACTAGCCCTCACTTCTATCCATCATACCCGCCCCCTTCCCCGCTAGGTTTAGATGACAAACCTTGGCCCGCGGTGTAGACGTCGCCGGCGTTCGACGACGGCCTTCAGGCGGCGACGTGCACGACGAGCAACCGGCCGGATGCTTGGCATGATCCG